GCAATTTTCATTTATTGCGGGCGCGCCATAAAAATCGACAGTTAAGCAGCAGCCGCGCGACAGCTGAACTAAATTATTTTATTGATGCTGAGGAAAAACTGAAAGTTTTAACCAAGTAGATCAACAGATAAAGCACGTCCGCCACACACATTTAAACAATGGGACGATAAAGTCAAAACTGATTCACAGTTCATATATTATTATGAGTATTAATCTAAATCACGAAGAAAATGTAGTTCGTATATGCATCTATAAGTGCGAAAGACTACTTAAGAGCAATAATTTTTTGTGAAGCGAGATCTTCATTCGCCGTTTTTAAAAATTATCATGCACTGATACTTTATTTCGTAGTATGAATGCATATAATTCCTCACGTATTTTTCAGTCAAATTTTCCTTTAATAGCCTTAAGATTGTGGGCACGTAGAAGAAAAAAAACGAAATAGAACAAATGCAATCATAAAAGATCAAAATACTAACAAATATTACTTTTTGTAAATAATATGGTTAAATTATCAAACTGCAATTCTTTGTACAGTATGACTCGCTTCGCTCACGTTGTCTCAGAAAACACAATACGACATATACGTGGATAGGAAACGTCTTGCGTCGCCAAACATCTATCAAAATGTGCTATAAACTGAAAAATTTATAAATTTTGTTCATTATTTCCAGATCGATTTCAAAATCGGTTTTCAGTCAATATGTGGACAGGCTTGATTGGTAATCAAGTTATTGGTCCGATACAACTTCCAAACCCACTAAACGCTGAAAATTACCTTGAGTTCCTGCAGGATATACTGCCAGGATTGCTTGATGAAGATGGTGTACCAGAAGAACTGCAAGAAAATCTTATTTTCATGCATGACGGTGCACCAGCACATACTACTGCGAATGTATGGAATTATCTTGATCAGGTAATTATTATAGTATACATTGTTGTTGGAAATATGTAAAAGCATCTCACCTATTTTGCTCTGCGCATGTGCGTGACTACACGTCTCGCTCTCTCTTGGCGGCTAGCGGCGTTACCGCTCAATTCGTTCTAGTCTCTTCCGTGACGCGGACGCCAAAGGCTTTCTCTCGAATAAAGCATTTCTTTTCTACAACTGTTTATTCACTTATTCTGCCTGCTTTACCCTTCCTTACCAAAAATTGTATTACGTGATTTCTCCTAATGAAAGTCTTAACGCTCTGAAATTTCATGTAGGATAATTTTGTCGTGGCTTTATGCCAATTATTTGCTGAAGGGAATATTGCTCTGACTTGAAAGGAAATTTAATTACTTTTATATTATTCTTTATAAAAATATAAAAGTCATTCTAGGACAGATAGCCTTATGAAAATTTTCTACTTTGTATCATACTTGACGAGTTTTATTTCCATCGCTCCAAGATTCTCAAATCTCAATTAAAATCCGCTCTCCTGCTCTTTCCCTTTTATTTTAACTCTACTTTAAATATAAAATTTTTTAATCTCTATGTATGCTGCCAGTATTTTGATTACTCGTACTACTTCAGTCTACAGAAGTTTTAAAACCAACACGGCTTCATTAGTATACTTCGGGGAGCATGTGAGAGTGCATTCACAGTACAGCGATAGAAACCAAATATGTATATGTCTGTACATGCACCTGCATGTACAACTGTCGGCTAGAAAAATTATTGGTTTCATAACAAATTTTACGCAGGTATATTAAAATCGCTTATAAAATATTTTAATTCTTCAAGGTATATGGCGGCCATTGGATAGGCAATAATGGTCCAGTACGCTGGCCAGCAAGATCTCCTGATTTTAATCCATTGGACTACTTTTACTGGGGGACATCCAAAGAAGCAGTTTATCACAATCGCGACCTCAATGACCCAAATGACATAATACAAAGAATCCAACATCATGCCCAGCATCTAGAACCCGAAAAAATACATGCAGCTACACATCAGATAAGACGTAGAGCTATTTTGTGTATTCAGCAACAGGGGGGGCATTTCGAACAATGCTTGGATGGTGATGATGGTGGTAATGGTGATGATGATGTTGTTGAGGAGGAGGACGAGTATGGTGATGATGTTGATGTTGATGGCAATGATGGAAATGGAGAAGATGATGATGATGATATGAACAACGATGGTGAAAATGATGGCAGCGAAAACGGTGAGGCTGATGATAGTATGGATGAAGATGATGACGACGTTGGCAACGATCCGAATTGGGATATATGAATTTACATGTTTTTTATATTTTTTCTTTTCTACTAAGGTTTTACTAAAAACTAGTCAGCCTAATAGTAGATGAAATTCGAATAATTTGATAAAACGTTATACTCTGTGTAAATAAAGATGATTTGTTATATAAATCTGTTTTTTCAATCATCTCCCTTAGCTGTTTTGGTTGTTCTCAATACGGGCCTCAATTATTTAAATTTTTATACACCACTGAATTCATCACAAACAGTTATGGATAAGTGGACTTATGAAAAATTTTTTCTAGAATTGAGGTAATTAGTTAAATAATTAAAAAGAAGAGTGATAATTTACTAGTTCAACTTCTAAAACTGGAATCAAGACAAATAATTGTGGGTGAGGTGACAGAATGTCAACTGACGAAAGGTTAAATAAGCGTAGGGTGGTGAGACCGTTCTCGTTATTCTACCTTTTTTCCGCTCTCCTCCTTCCTTTCCCATATTTCCCAAAACATCGACTACGTCTAACTCTTGATCATTGACACTTATACCACAGCTTACCTTTGGTCTGTTGCATTACCTGTTCCGCCCGTTGCTTTTGTCTTTTCAATATTATCTTCACGTCTTCTACCGCTAAACCAGGCCACAATGTGCTCCTTTGCCTTTCTACCAAAGTCCATGTTTGACTCTGACTCTTCTATCAAGCAGCACGGAGCACATCTGCCCTTCACACAAATCTCTATATATCTGACACACTTCTGAGACCGCCCTGAGGTTGACCACTTTTCTTCCGAGTCGTTGCTCTACCTTCCCATCTTCTTAAACTATGCTCGCTCCGCCCTATTTTTTGAGACTGCTTCGACTAACTCTTTCTCCAAGTCAGAATGGCCTCGTCCGCTCTCTTTTCCGATCCCAACTTCGTCTAACTCTATTTCAAACCTGCATTAGACACATCCGTCCTCTTTTTCCGATAACCCGCTCCGTTTAACATAATTTCTAGTTAGCAATGTGGTCGTCTGGGATCATTTCCGCGCCCTTGCTCCGTCGGACCCATTCCTAAGACCCTACTATGACCGCCTTATCTTGTCCCCAAGCCGCCTGCTGTTATTGCTCGTCGTTAACTGTCAATCCAAGTTAACACTATGCTCGATTGGACATTTCCAGAGAAGAAATGGGCTCGACCACCTTCTTATTCGAGCCCGACTTTGCCTGACCCTTTTCCAAGGCCACCCCCTGCTCGTCTAGCCTACAACTAGCGCCCTCGCTTTTATGTGCCTTTATTCCCAGTCAGCACTGCGTTTGCCTAAGCGTTTTTCCGTACCCTCACTCCGACTAACCCCTTACTAAAGCAGCACTAGGCTCCTTCGCCAATTTTTTCGAGTCCGCACTGCTTGAACCTTTTGCTAGGCCTCCCCATATTCGACTGGCTACAATCTATGCAACCGCTTCCTCTGCCGTTTTTTCCATTCAGCACAACGCATCTGCACTCTTTTCTGCGGACTCGGACACGGACATAGCCCTGTACTCGTCTACCCTTCTGAACGCAACCCCCCGCTCGTCCGTCCATTTTCATACAGCCCTCAGCTTGTCTGCCCTTTTAGACATGGCGCTCTACGCGTCCGCCCTTTTGGACACAGCCCTCCCTCGTCCGTTTTATTTTACACAGCCCTCGGCTCATCCGTCCTGTTTTAACATAGCCCTCCGATCGTCTGCCCTTTTGGACGCAGCCCTCCACTCGTTCGTCATATTGTGACCTAGGTCTCTGTCTCTGCTCGTCTGCCCTATTTCATCAAGCCCTCTGCTCGTCTGCCCTTCATGACGCCACCCTCCGCTCGTCCGTTCTATTACGACCCGCCCTCAGCTGGTCCGTCACATTTCGACGTAGCCCCCAGCTCGTCCGTCTCATTTTGCCTTGACTTCCGCTCGTCCGCTTTATTCCACCCAGCCCCTAGCTCATCTACCCTTTATGACGTAGCCCTCTGCTCGTCTGCCTTTCATGACGCTGCCCTCTCTCCGTCCGTCTTATTTCGATGTCTCCCTTGCACCGTCCGTCTAATTTCGACGTAGCCCTCCGCTCGTCCGTCTTATTTCGACGAATACCTCCCACCGTCTGTCTAAATTCGACGCAGCCCTCTGCTCGTCTGCCCTTCATGACGCCACCCTCCGCTCGTCCGTTCTATTACGACCCGCCCTCAGCTGGTCCGTCACATTTCGACGTAGCCCCCAGCTCGTCCGTTACATTTCGTAAGACAGCGAGTTTGAATTCGATGACCACGAATACTAAATAACCTATTTCGCAAAATAAACACAAAAGCTTTCACGTACATCATTGTTATTAGTCAATCGGTATTGAACCGTTCTTTTTATTGATACGCGTTCAATCAATGAATACGTATATCAGTATACATGGGAGCTCCGTGTTGCACGATTGGGTTGAGCACCGCTTGCAATCAGCGGCGCCGCGCGCCGCTGGCCCCCCCCCCCCCCCTCACTGCTCCGCGCTCGCCATCAAGCGCCCGTTCTTCTAAAGCTGTGCGCTAATTGGCCGATCTTTGAAGCTAATTATCTAATTACCTAATTATTTAATCGAAAAACTAAGACCACAATGCTGAATTAATTTTTCGAGACGAATCGAATGGAATTATTAGTTACATATGTTTTTGAATCACCCTGTAAAGTGGCGCAGATTCAAAATGGAAAAGCCCATTGCCCATTGTGGAAATTTATTTTCAATAAATAAAACTTTAAGCTCATAGTTTATCAGTTCATCATTTAAAAGTAAAATAATATTTATATTATGCTTAAAAAGACACTTTTACCTAACGATACAGCAACAAAAACCATTCCACTGCAAGTTAAAAGCCAATAGCCAACTATTTTACGAAGTTGTTCATTTAGTTGTGGTCTCCTATAAAAATAATTTCTATGATACGTAATTGACTTAATCTGGAACGAAAAAGAAATAATTTTAATGTATATTAGTTCAAAATGAAATTTCCATTAATTGAGTTAAAATAACAAATAAGTCTATTCAAATTCTATAAGTAATTAATTTATTAAAATTACTTGCTCTACCCAGTTGGTCCCATACATATAGTTTAGTTGAGAAAGGAATTCATAGAGAGAAATTTATACTCATATGCCTTGGAATTTTTATGAGCATAACTTTATTCAGTAAAATGAATAATACTAGCGTTTGAGAATGTAAGAATTTACCTTTATTAAACTGTAAAAATATATAATAAACACAATCGCTTATGAATAGAACAGATATAAACAGACACACGCACATACATATGTATACAGTATCGGTTACAAATTTTCGAATGTTTTGTAGAAGAAAAGCCATTCATTCAACAAAAATATCTTCGATTATATTTGATCATAAGATAAAACTAAAATAGGCAAATTGACGTAGAGGAGTAATACTATCTTTTTATGTGGCGCGAAATCTTTTGAAGTCATTTTTTTTCTATATTTTATATCACTATATAAAAAGTATCTATTATCCGAAGATTTTTTATTTCTTCAATCACTTGTATTTGTGAAAATATCGATAATATATAAAAAATTCTCATAAATATTGAAAGACCTTGAAAAGATCTAAAATTTATTACTCACGACCTTTTTTGGCACGATGCTTTTTTAAAAAGTTACGAGTGATTAAATATCACTACTAGCGAAAAATGAAATGGAGACTTGTCCATTTTAAATGCACACAATCTGATTTGAATAACTCCTCTGAAACTAAAGAAATCGGAAAAATAGCCATTACAAATATCGTAGGGTTTAGAAAGAAGTGTCATATGGTGACCTTAGATTTGTCGTGGAACTCAATCTTTAAGGTCACATTAAGATCAACTTTTTTTTTTTAATAACAAGTCCTAATTTTGATTACGGAAATGAAAAGAACGAAAAATTTTACGTTCGGAATAGTTCTACTAGGTAGGCCAGATCATTTCAAGGTCGAAAAGCCAGTTCAAATAGCTCAACAGTTTGTTAAGCTAAAATCATAAAAAAATGGTTAGTATAATACTTGTTAGGTTTCAACAATAACAACAAAAACAACAGCAACAAAAAGAAAATTGTTTAAAGTCAAAAAATAGCGACGTGTACAATAAAAAAATAATAATAATAATAAAATGGATAATAGGTGAAAATCAAAGCTTAATAATAAGAGGATCTAGCTGAATAATATAGTCAAATCGGCCCAGTCAGATATAAGGAAATCGACTTAGCCATTATATATAGCATGTAAAGAACCCCTATTCTTAGATTTTCGAACCCCTAGACCCCCATAGGGAAGAATGGAACGAAATTTTGTTTTTTTCCTCGATTTTTTCATATCTCGGTCAGCTTAAGAGGTAGAACAAAATTGTTCATATAAAAATTATAGGGTTTTTCAAGCGTTACAAATATATATGGACGAAAAATGTTTTGCGCCAAATTCAAATTTTTAGAGCAATTTGAAAATTTCAAAATTGGATATTTCAAAAACAAATACCGATACATGTCTAGAAAATAATATGTTGTTAATTTCTGCTCAAAAAATACCTCTTAATTTTTTCAGATTTTACTAGCTATGGAAAAAACCTTTAAAAAACACTATTTTTTGCCTGTAACGCTTTACAGGTATATCCTAGAATAAAACCAATAGCATCATTATGTTCTATAAAAAAATACATCGAAAACATGTATAATATTTATCATTATCACTATTACATCATGACAAATCGATGATTGTATTTACGACCTTCATGTAACATTTGGGAAATAGGATGGAGAATACAATCAATGATTTCTCGACAGATAATGTACCAATGATGAAAATGTAACACATATTTTCCATATATTTTTTACCTAGAATACGGTGGTACTATTGGTTTTATCCTGGGATCTACCTGTGAAGCGTTAGCAGCAAAAAACTGAGTTTTTCAGTGGCTTTCAGCTTCAGGTATTTTCCAAGTAATCCTACGATATAATCTTTAGTACGATTGAGTTTTGCACAAGAAAACACCGTCAAAAATATGTATAACATTATTACAATACTTTTAAAATTATTTCCACTAAAATTTTTCTATAACTTCTTGCAGGAGTAAATTAACCAAGTTTTTCTTCTTTTATAGGTACCATTCACGTAAGCAAATAATTTGATTAAATAATTTGAGGGGTATCTGAAGTAACATCATTATCAATAAGAAAATTTATGCTTTCATCTCGTAATTTCTAGTTGTTATTCGTTAGAATGAAGAAGTTCTCAAATACTGTTAAATATTTATGTATACATATTCTACAAATATTAATTCCTATTTTTTACATATCATACAATATAAAAATAACAAAGATTACATTTTCATTTTTGAATATTGTACATATGATTTCCAAGTATTAAATATAAATATTTTTATGATTGATTGGTAGGTAACAAAAATCGATGAAATAGCTAGCAATAATAAGGTGAGCAATACAAATTTATTCCTCGTCCCTCATCGGTACCCATATTCTCATCCTCTTCGAAGTTTATATTTACATCCTCAACGGTACCTACGTCAGTGAAAACTTGTTCGAAAATCTTTGATGATTCGTGTGCACGTCTCAAAATTCTTCATTGAAATCTTGCGAACGATAAGTAGTCTATAACGGTAGCCACATAAAAGCAACAGCCAATTGTTTGCTGCAACGGTAGTCGATTCAATTAATCGAACCGTTCGCGATTCTGATTTTCGCGCGTTAGTTCTAAGTATTGAGAGAGAGAGGGGGCGCGCGATCTTTTGAATTAGCAGTTAAGCCTCAGCTGTTACTTGTGTAGTACCGCCAAAATAGTTTAGCACAGTGTTCCACCGATTTGCCAATATATAGTTTACTTGGATTTTGGATACGTGTGCAAGGGTGAGCGAGGAAGCAGCGACAGTAACAGCATCATGGAAGCAGCAGCAAAAGCAACAGCTATTATACAGCAGATTTGCGATCGAGGCAGCACAGCTGATTCTAATCTGAGGAGCACCTTTAATTTGCTTCAACAATTACGGCTGATCACCGTAATTGCACCGCAGGGTAGGTGCACCTCCCTTAATTATCGCGTGACAAAATACATTTGGTATTTTGTCCAACCGTGTTAGCGTTAATTTTTTGTATTCGCGTCGAGCATTAGATCGCGCCAATATTCGTATCTTCTCTCTCTCTCTTTCTCACCGAAAGTTATTTAATTGTAAATCCTATTCGCGTGCGTCAGTCTTTCGGCCCGACAAAGACTGTAGAGATTTTTTATTAATAAAATCTATTAAACTTATTCGCCGATTTCGTCATATAATTTTTCCTAATAGTTTAAACAATTGAAAAAGACTTAGGTTTTAATCCGATTATAGCTAGGGGATTAAGTGAGTTCGGAGCAAAGTCGATTACACTTAAAACTCATCGAGTATCACAAGGCACGTGACTTAAGGTGAGTTCAACTCTGCTTGATCGAAGACAACTAAGTTAAGTCAGCTGACGTTAAGGCGAATACACGTATTAACATACGTGTTAACGGAGCGGCGGTTTGCTCTGCATCGTGGGAGTTTACTCTTAAATAAATTTCTCATTTTGCAGATTTATCCCCCCCGTTACATTGCATGCCACTAGGACAGTCACAATAACGCCGTAAAATTTTAGCACAGCGAATGGTATTTGGCTTACTGTGAATATAGAAATTAGATATTTTTCGTTTAACATGCCTCGATTTTATCTGAATTTTAATAATATCAATAGTTTGTTTTCAATAACTTAACAGAATTTCATCATTCTCATTCAGCATTTTAACTAAGTAAGATATTGCTTGTTGATATTGATATGTTTCAGTAAAGAATTCAATTAAATCCGCTTCTGTCATTTCAGCAAACCCCTCTAAGTCAGAAGAATTCAAGTTCAGAAAAACTTTTTCTTCTGCTTCATTTCCCTAAGACCACATCGTCAGCCAAGTTATTTTCACTTTTGTATTTCAAGAGTATAGAATCAATTATATCTTGATTCAAAGAAGCAGTTGGTATCAGTTTCTTTCCAAATTCGTTAATCAAAAAACAAACAATCTACACAATATAATATAATACAATATAAGCTACAATATAATTTACAATATAAACTACCTTGGGGTATGTATCGATCATCCAATTGTTAATGGAAGAAATGGTATTTTTGTGATACAATACCATTCATAGCTTGAACGACCCAGCGAATCATGGTAACACGTCGTGAGTGATTTGCATCTTATGCAAACCACAGTGAGTTTAACAAAATTTTAATCAAATGGAAAACACCTATGGATTTTATTCCTGAATATGATTGTAGAAACCTTTAGAAAACTATTCCAAGTGAAATGAAAACTTAGACTTGAGCCGTTTTTTTATCTTACTTATTTAAAGATTTTATCGATAGTTTATAGAATTTACCCGCATTATGACGTTGTAATGTTCGAGTAACAAGTGGTTATGGTTTTATAAATAAATAATATGATTAATTATAAGTTAAAGATTATATATTTATACTTTTCAACTACATATATATAATGAACTTTACACTTTTTAAAGCAAAATAATGAAGAAATATAATAATCGCTTGTCATAGCTTACAAATGATTACCATGGTAGTTACAAATAGTTTTTAGTAAATGATTTGCAAGCTTAGGGTGTGTGCTAGCTACTCTACGTTTCATCCAAGTTTTTTTTTAGATCACAATGAACAGATTCCATTGCTTGTTCACTGAAAAGCCCAAGTCCTTCGTTATTTTTTAAACAGAAATATGATACGTAATGAAATACTGTATGAGTTTTAGAAGTAACATTAATATTTAAATCTAAATAACTTTGACGAAATTTATCTATTGTATAAACAAAATTTATATCTAACTTTTCAGAAAAACACGAATCACCGACTGATCGAAAATCAGCAAAATATTTAACGTATTTCAAACA